CGCAGTTAGCAAAAAGGTTGTATCTGAAATTTATCGGGCCATTAAAAGAGTGAAGGTATGGTTAATAAAATTTGCATAAGGTTGATAAAAATGTTATTAGTTGTTAATTTTTGTCATTAAATTAGATGACAATTTCGACTTCGACTCATGTTAATATTAATAAAACGCCTGATACAAATAATTGTCCTATAAAGGTTTCGGTAGTTGGTATTGCTCAGAGTGAAGTGGAGATGATTCTAAATAATGAGAATGCTGTTATTAAGACTTCAATTAATGATTATACTACTGAAAATATCAACTTTGTAGTTAGTATTGTATTTCCACATTCAAATTCCCGGTTCCTACATTTTAAAAATTCGATCTGACCAAACGAATCTTTACTTTTTGTTGTTGGCGAGTTAGAAGTCATTCAGGATAATATATATGTTTACGCCAAGGATATTAATTATGTCAAAACGCATATAGAGATCAAAAAGCAAGCATCCAATTCTAATAGTTCTCAAACTTTGGTTACATCATCTATATCAACTCAGTCTAAACTTTTGGCTACTCATCGAAGCATTGCTGAATACTCTGAAAAAGATCTTAAACCTTCTACTTCAACAAGTGTAGCAAATTTAAATAGTATTAGATCAGATGAATCTGATTTTTCATTATCTAATCCTAGACCTACAAAATGAGTGAAAAATTATAAAGTGAATGAAATCGCTAAGAATTTGTTAAAAGTTGATCAAGATTATAATACAGCTAATGAGTATTTTGATGAAGTGGATAAATTTGAGGATAATAAGAATTATGAGGTAATAGCAGTGAACAGTGATGAAAATAGTGATAATTGTTTTCATAAAGTTGTCGACAATCAGAATCATGGGTGTGGGCGTAAACATGGATGTAGTCGTGGTCATGGATGTGGACGTGGTAGGGAAAATAAAGGCAAAGAGCATGCATTATATAGTGTTGAGAAAACACTTGATTCTGAATTTGAAAGTATTTTAAGTGAAGAAGAATGTTTCAGATTTTTATTGCACTTAAGTATGTTTTTATTCAGATTTATTTCTATTTTTTATTTATTATTAGGAATTTATATATTTTAGTTATAAGTTTATTATATGATTTAATAAATTTGTCATTTATTATATCGATAATAGAATGTTATCCTGCTTAAACTGCATCAATGTAAACGGGTTTTAAACTTTGCTTTACAATTAGTTACATGCCTATTAATTAGATAGCTAGGTAAACAGGAAGGGATTAATAAACATGTTTAATATATGTAAAGAAAACAATAAAGAAAAAATTTTTAGTCATTGTTTAAAGATTTATTGTGATTATAGTATGGATCAATCTCATGAATTATTTTATCATAGTTATATATCGATAAAGCTTGGGTGATAAGGTTGACTTGATAAATTGTAGTGTTGAATTTTACAAAAAAGTTTAACATGCATCAACGTAACTTAGTCAATGAGAATTTTTTATGAATAACGAACAATCTACATTAATATTTTGCAACTGTTAGTGATTAGCAATGGTAGGTGATTAACATTTTTAAAGGTGGGTAGAATAATGGTTTTAATAATTGGCTGGTGATTTTAAAAACTGGTGAGTGATTTGAATGGCGTATGAATTTATTATTTCAACAATAAATTAGCTAGTGCCTTTAATATTAACAGGTTAATCAAGTGGGGAGTAAGTTAGCAATTGAGACAATATGTAAATTAATGAGTGTTTACGATTCGAGTAATGAATAAGTTAAAAATTTTAACAACGGGTGGATTCCAAATTTCATAGTGTAAATTTGTGACTTAGCAGAGATTTTAACAATGAATATTCATTTCAGTAATGCAGATTCATAGCTTTGATAAAGATGAGTCATTATTTTAATAGTGGCAAAAGAATATACAAGATGTGACAACTATGATCATGCTGACTATTCGTAAATTAGATTCTGCACTTGCACTCTTTACTAAGCTATACACATCGGTTTACTCTGTTCCTAGTATTAATACTGTAATTTATTTATTAATATTACATAGTGAATAATTTAATAAACACCATCAATATTCAATTAATTAGCACTTCAAATTTCAAGACATGATCATTTTTTTTATTAATTTCATGTAGTTATAAATATTCTGTAATCATTACTTATATGCATTGTTATACTCGATGTTTAATTTAATTTAAAAAGAAGTATATAACATTATGCTTATACTCATAAATATAGTATAACTTAATTTTGAAACTTGGTATCAAGTTGTTAGAAATAATCAAATTTTTTCTCTGTAGTCTTTTGCTATAGTCTTTGAAGATCACTGATTATCAAATCATCAGTCTGGCAAATAATTCGATTCAGAAAAAATAAAAATTCAAATATATATATATATATATATATATATTTGCATCAGATCAATCTGATTAATAGAAAAAAACAAGTAATATATGTATTTCTGCTTAAAAATAAAAATTAAAAATCGATAGTACTTCGTACGTACTGTACTCTGTACTGTACTTTGTAA